GGGTCTTAAGATAAATGCATGAAAGATTATTTAACTTTTTATGTGTAACAAATTATTTCAAAACTATATTTCTTTATCCTTTAAGATATGCATGACTTTGTGCCAAGCTGTTTTATGTAATCCTAATAAAACACACTGAAAACTCCAGCTATAACATCTGAACATTTGAAAAAGTTTCCACAAATAAGAAAAACAATTTCTCTCATACAAGTCATGCATTTTTTCATGGAAATACAAGTGATCAACTGTGAGCGCTGCACAATAATATTGACTTCCTGTTTACTAATGAGTGAAACATGCTGTGTGGCTAAAGCAGGAAATGCTGAATGAGTCAAACAGTCCAACAGCAAAATCATAAAAATCTAATGAGTGAAAGTAAACATAAGATGACTACAGGTGGAACCCGACAGTGAACTGTTGGGACTGACCAGTTGCTCCAGGTAGTCCCGAATCCTGGGCAGGTAAGTGAGAGAACTGATGGCCACCAGGCAGCTCAGAGCAAAGTCAAACAGCTGGTAGCAGAAAAATGGGATGAGCCATCCATCACGATGCTGAAGAAGGTGGGCACAGTTGGAAAATAGAAGATTAGACAATAACTTGGACACATCTTTATAGAATTTGGACGGACCAGAATGCTTAATTTTATCCAACCTCTAGACATCATTAAATAAAAATTCTAGAAATTATTAAAATTAACAAACTTTAACTCTATTCCTAGGTCTCTTGGTTTTGAGTTTTTTCTAAAGAAGTATTAATTGGATTCATATGATGCTAGAAGACATCAAATTAAAATAAGCAAGGTGGTCCTTCCTTTAGTAACTAAGCAGTTTGGATTTTACTTCAAGATAATTAAAAAAAAACACTTAGGATGGGACCTACTTTATTTGAACTAACATTATATTCCTAAAAGTTCTTCTCCAATCTGGAGACACCTGCCACACAATACCAGAAGGGTTTCTACAACACTTTATTGGAAAGTTATCATAGCGCAGCTAAAGTACGACTTTTGGACAATCCGCATGCCTCCTGTTCACAGACAGGAGTCGTACTTTAACTGTGCACACAAATCTAACAGTTTAATGAAGGTTCATGTGACAAAGCTACCAAACCTGTCCTCCTTGTTGCCATCAGGCAGGCCTGTGAGGTAAACACGACACGCAGTGAAAACACAGCATGGTGTGGAACAAACCTGATACATCACAATTCCTTTCAATAACCGTTTATAAAAACTTCATTTGTGCTAACTTTCACAGAAAAAAAATGAAGCTGAATTCCTTCCACGGATTATACATTTTCACAGAAAACAAAGACAAATCTTTTAAAATATTGTTAATTCTGCCACGACTTACAGTGATTGCTCCATACACCATCATGGCACTGATAGTGAGCATCAGCAGAGAGATGGCAAAACCAACACAGGCATTTTCTACAATAGAGCAAGAGATACAATCGGTGAATTCCGGTCAAAGTACAGCCCTAATGCATGGTAGAGGCCGAGAGTCGAGATTAAATGTATATTTGCCTGTGCTTTAAAGAGGCAGTTGGGATTTGCATACTCAATAAGACAGCCAACTCACTCAGCTGTAATAGAGTTGCTCTGGGGAACATTAAGTCGATCTCTTTCAGCAGAGTCAGTAAATATGAAAGACACTGTCTAAGATAATTAAATGGTCTACCTTTCATATCCTCTTTTCTCTCATCACTTATCCTCTCACTTTGTTAACTCTTGCACCGGGGTGGCTCGTGCCAGAGCTGCTGCAGTAATGCAGTCTGTATCAACTCTTTGTTATTCTGTAGCTCAGATAAAACAATCTGTGCATCAGTATGACCCCATCTGACACTTCTTGCAGCTTTTGGGGACAAAAAGCACTGTCTACTGGAGCTGATAACTTGGAACTACTGAATAAATAGGCTTAGTATTTCAAAGTGTTATACTATAATTGCCAAGCAAAAAAAATAAAGACTTTAAATCGGTTTTAAATTCAAAGTTTACTTGGCAGGGTTAGAGAACATTGAGTATTTTTGGAAAATTCCAGACAGTGATCTCAATGGTGCTTATATAAGCAGCTTCAGTACAAGGTTTCACATCAAAGTCCATTCTTTTCCAGGTCCTAACAAGATTACTATCAAATTACTACTCATACTTCATTTAATTAATTCAGCTTATTTAAATAGCTCTGATTTAAAACATGTCTAAATGCACTTACATAAAAATAATTCTAACTTAAATGCAGAAATATATAGTCAACAAATTCCAATTCAAATCCACCAGTTTGCACACAGAAAAGATATCAAATTATTATAACTTTACTTACCGGACATCCTGTCGGAAGCAAAGTAATGGTCAATGACCTCATACTGCAGGTCAATAGTTGGTACGTTCTCTGGGTGCGTCACAGCCACGGTCAGCAGGATTCCCATCAACAGGTTGACCACCTGAATACAGGTAAGCAGGGAATAATGAATGAGTTGAATTTAAATGAACTTGGAATTAATCTGAATTTGCTTTCAAAGCTGTAGATAGAGTGAAGAAAAAACAGGAACTTAAAAAAAACAGAGAACACTAAGAAATAAGACACATGTGAGACTGGACAAAAGGAAAAAGGGTTTATGTTTTTTTTAATGATGAGATGTGAATTTAATCCAATATAAAAGTAATGCTTGACTGGCACTTTAAATAAGAAGGAGGTTCTAGAGTACTGGGGGAATATTTAAGAAACTATTTTTTTAATCACAGCAGCTCCTGGAACTAAAACTGAACAACCTGCTGATAGCGGTTAATCCACTGAACATCAACATATCTATGTCGGCATACAACAGTTGAGGCAAAGTAAAAAAATACCAGCTAAAGTTCTGGTAACTGCACAACCTCCCCGAAACATGAGAGTTTGTATAGAGGTTTGAACTTGGCTCCCACCCCCAGACATCTGCAGATAACAGGATGAGTAAACTGAATTCAGTTGTAATCTGTTAACTGGAAGAACAAAAACATGTTTGTTCCATTGACATAATATTGCAGATTATGATATCTTAGCTAAGTGAAATGACAAACTACACAAACTTCACAAGCAGATCAAGCACCGTATAAGGCTTTCAGAACAATTAATAGGGAATAAATAAAACAAATCTTGGGATTCATCTTAAAAGCAAAGAAACTGCTAACTGTACACCCCAGGCAGCACAAGCTCTATGGCAACATATAAATATAAATATAAGCACCAGCTTGGCTTCTGTAACAAACCAAGGCAGGTCTGAAAGTAAATTTGAAAGGACAAATTATAGAAGTAAAAGAACGAAGGCAAAATGACAACAGTACTGAAAAATAGATAAACATATGAATAAATAAATGAATATACGAACTAAAGGTTGAAGGACATATAGAAAAATACACAAACTGGAAAATTCCGATTTTTCCAGTATTTGAAAATGCTAATATTTTCCATTACATTTTGTGCTTTTGTTGATTCTTATCTTATTATCTGACGGTCGTCATGCAGAAGTTAGCGGAATATCGGCTAATTAAGTCCAATGTCACAAGTTTGACACTTTTAGATCTCACACAAATACTTCCAACAACCATGCACGGACAGCATTTGTTGTAAAAAAAAATAAATAAATAAAAAAAGTTATTGAATTTTACATCTAATGTTATACTTGACCAGCCACGAGAAACGCCAAATAAGTTAGCTAGCTATAGCTAACATTAGCAACCCGTTAGCGTCACTTCGACATAAAACAGGCTTTTCACGGTCGAATGCTGAGGCTGCAAATAATTTAAATACACACGAACAGCCAAAATCTAATCAGAACTGAGCAGTAATCTTAAATAAACTGCAAGGTTAATGTAACCCCTTAATTATGTAAACTTAACAGGCGAACGACGCAGGCTAACGCTGGCGTATTGACCGTTATCGAGAACCATCTTACGCACCATATACCATGTTCCCAGGATGATGGTCCCGGTCCGAACATGGCAACATCCACAGCACCGGGTGGTGTACAGTCTATCTCGGGTTGGCTTGAAGTGATGCATGTCCTCCACGAGTGTAGGGAGAAACATCTGGAGAGTTGGCAGGAAACGTTGGAAAAATCTTCTCAGCATCAACAGACAGCTAACGACCGCGGAGAAACGCCCACCACTTCCCCCCGACAATCTGCGGCTGCGCACAAGGTAGATTAAAAACAAACCATCTGTCGTCACGTCAGTCCACGTTCCCCCGTCAATGTTTTCAATTTTTAAACCTCAATAACAATTTAAATAATACAATGCAAAGTGTAGTGGAATTTTATGTCAAAATTTAAAACATAAACACCACCAATGGTACAACGGAGGCTGGATCAATTTCACAAGTGTAATATTTAAGCCCAGTTCACACTACACGATTTTAGAAAAGTAAGAGTGTGAGGTTTCACTCGAAGACATTCTAATTCCAGATACGAAATCTCTTCAAATTAAAATTCTGCGCTGCAACACCTGAATTTAGAGTAAACAAACAAACATGGACAACGACGTTGAAGTGGTAACTTTAGTTTGCGGACTTATGTTAACCCAAAAAAGACGTAACCAAAAATCAAAGCTTTGGATTAAGAACTGGAGACATCGTGAGCAAGGATATTATTTGTTGCATAGCAACATGGAGGTGAGTTTTTTTTTCTTTCTTTTTTTCATAAAAAATACTGTTTTTAATGTTTTCGGTTTGGTCGTTTAATTAACCGTTTACGTATAATTTTATAATTATTCGCTGTGTTTATGTTGTTGTAGAATATATGCATATAACGGAATGACTAAAACATCAGAGCAGTTTAAAGTAGAAGAAAGCATTTCGTACATATTCGTTATTAGAAAATCAGATGGTAGTTGTCCTTTCCCCCCCCCCAATTGACCGCGAAAGCTTAACGTAGCCTGCTCCAGCTCCTTTAATTAAAACTTATTGTATTGTTTAAAATTGTATTATGACTGCAGAATACAATCAAATGCGCCATTTCAACCAAAGATTGGAATGCGCTTCTCAACCACATGTCCTCTGTGCTATACCCCCGCCCCGCCCCGGGCCGGGACGGCAGTGCGCATGCGTCTGGCCGGGTCGGCAGTACGCATGCGCGGGCCCGAGGCGGATGTGGGGTTGGATAACTTCCGGTGGCTATAGCGTTAGCATTAAAAGGCTAGGAAAATGGCTCAGTCTCGGCGCAGTTGTTTTTGTTCAATCCCTGGTTGTTCATGTGGGCCTTATCTTTCATATCATGGGTTCTCGACGGACCCGGACTAACGGAGGCAGTGGATCCAGGCGATCCGAAGAGATGAAGGTCCGGACTTTTGCATAAAGACGGGGAGCACTTTCGTATGTAGCCGCCACTTCACACCGGAGGATTTTGTTAGCGGATCCACCACCAGCCGCCTTAAAAGTGGAGCTGTTCCTTCCCTGTTTGCCTGGAATAACTTCACTGAACCGGCATTGAGAGAGTCTGCTTTCGAGAGGGCGAAGAAACGGCAGTTTGTCCTCTCAGAAAGCTAGCCAGACTGAAGATGATACTGCGGACCATGACTACACGGCACAGCCACCCGCAGGTAAAAGAAAGTATATATTTTCCATGTAAGATAATTTCAGTAAAATATAACTGTTGCTATAATAATAATAATAATATTATTATTATTATCACATAATAATGAAATTATGACATTATGTGGTTATGTATTTTGTGGAGAGATTAAGTCAATGGCTGTATACATCTATGCTCCGACTCACAACATGTATTGATCTTCACAGAAGTAATGTTTCAAATATATCATTAAAACTTATTGCTAACCGTATATTTTGCTATTTTATTTTGTCATTTTACAGGTGCACTCTATGAAGCGCTGGATTATATCAAGGAATTGGAGGACAGACTTCAAAAAGTGGATTTGTCTGCCACACTTTTTAGCCTCTACTGTGCCTCTGATGAACAGATCCGGTTCTACACCAAATTTCCATCTGAATGTGTGTTCCGGATCTTCTGGGAGTCCATTGCACCCTCTGCATCACGCCTGGTGTACTGGACCAGAGGACAGAAACTTGGAGAGGAAGCATGTGCTGAAGCCAGCCCTGCCCGCTGCATGCCTCTGATTGATGAGTTCCTGATGTTCTCATTCAGGGCAGCAGTGGGCATCAAGGAGCAGCTCATTGCTGACATGTTTCAAGTCAGCATAGCTACTGTCAGCCGAGTGACCATCACCTGGGCCAACTACCTGTTCATTGTGTTCTCTTCCATCAACCTGTGGATTAGACGTGAGAAGGTAAAAGCCAGTATGCCTCAGAAATTTTTGAAGTTCTCTCCAAATGTCCGTGTCATCTTGAACTGCACAGAAGTTGCTCTGGAAATGCCATCATCCCTCACCTTGCAGTCTGAAACGTTCTCTGCCTACAAGAACCACACCACTCTGAAAGGGCTGATTGGAGTTGCTCCCTGTGGGTTGGTGACATTTATTTCAGCGTTGTACACAGGCTGCATCTCCGACAAAGAAATAACGAAGGTCAGTGGAATCCTTCCTCTGCTTGAGCTGGGAGATGAAGTCATGGCAGATAAAGGCTTCCTCATTCAAGACCTCCTTCATGAAGTTGGAGCCAAACTCATCATTCCACCATTTAGGCATCCCGGTCAGTTCAGCAAGGAAGGAGCAATGGTCTGGAGACCCAGACCATTGCTCGGCTGCGGATCATTGCAGAGCGAGCAATCGCTAGAGTAAAGTGCAACCACATCTGGGATTCCCCGGTGCCTCTTACTTTAATAGGAACTGTCAATCAAATCTGGCACAACTGTTGTGTTTTGGTAAATTATCAAGGTCCACTTTGTGTTGCAGACTAAATTATTTATGTATGTTAATTGTTGTAATGCCAAGTAAAAAGTTAAATGTCTAGACATTTTGCAAAAAATATTCAATTAAAACACACTGTAGCAGCACACTTGACTTTCTTTTTGTATTAAGTTGAATTGAAAGGAAAACAAATCAAGTACAATTTACAATATCTAGTAAAAACAAAAAATCCATAACTATTTCATATTTTATAATTGTACACCATACATTGATTTAAAAAAAACAGGAAGTGCCGCTGCCCTTTCAGATACAGCTTCTGGTTGCCGTGAAAAAGGACTATTATCGTTCATAAAAAAACTTTTAAAAAGTTGGGGGAACACCACAGACATTGCGATGAATGAGCCAAGATGATTAAACACGTTCCATCGACTGGACCCGATCAGTCGTAACACACCACACACTACAGGATGATCGGTTACGATTGTCGGAAGCGACCATCTTAGAACTCAGAACGTTCTAAGATCTTAGAACTCAGAACGTTCTTAGAACTCAGAATGTTCTAAGATCTTAGAATTCAGAATGTTCTAAGATCTTAGAACTCAGAACGTTCTAAGATTGTCGTAAGGGCAAAATCGGGCCCGACATTCGTGTAGTGTGAACTGGGCATCACAATGTTCAGGGAAAACTCACTTTAAAAGAGTTCATTTTAATTGATCATGTATTAGAGTGTCTATTTGAGAGAATAAATAAATATGTCCTCTTTATGAACCAACTGTTGGGATTTTGTTGACACACCATTGTATGGTATTAATGATATTCTCTATGTGAAGTAAGTCCCCTATCTCCCCAAAACTGCTCCCTGGTATGATTATGTTCCCACATCTTATCTCCAGAGAAGCATCAGTCGGCTTCCGTCTTCCTTAAATAAAAGCATGTGAAAGCTTTTTATTACTTGACAGTGTAATAATAAGAGGTCAGTTTTGGATCATCTGACCTCTTGTAAAGTTAAGATTGAGAAAGGTTACAAACATTCAATATTGAAAATGTGAAAATGCAGTGAGCCCTATGGGTCTGGTAGTTCATGTAACTTTAAAAATATATAAACAATGAAAATAAACAAATTTATGACATTTATTTTTAAAAAAGGAAATAAGCATTTATTGCCTAATATGCAATAACATACCATTCTATTAGTGTACATGTGATTATCAGTTGCAAAGGATGCATTTTTAGCTACAAAAATACTTTTAACGTCAACATGTGAAAAGCTCTGCCCAGTCTGCTTGACTTAGCCATTCAGTTTAAGGCTAATCTGCTGACAATTCTTTGTATTAACCAAAAAATGGAATAATGCAAAACACGAAGGGGATTTTATATTAAGTTCTAGGTAGTACATATTTACAGGTGAAGGTTTTTCAACTTATATGAAAAATAAATAGATGTTTTTGTACAGTTTTAGCTCAGTATCCACTCCGACTGTTGTTTTTCAGAAAATAGCGTTTTCAGAGTCTGTATTATCCAGTTAAAAATTTGTTTAAATTTTTAACTGGACTAAAATTAGTCGATGATTACTTCAATAATCGAGTCATCATCATCATCATCACTCTGATTAATTGTTTCAACCCTTGTCTTCAGTACCTCTCCCCTTATACAATCATCATTGGAAGCTACTATTCGTTCATGTGGAATGACTATCCATGTTTTGACAAAATGAACATCTGAGGTAGGACTGGGAAGCTTCGAAGCAGAACCAGAAAGTGGTGATGTAGTGAAATTTGCTCCCTGCGCATAGTGATGATCCAGCAAGGCAGTGGCTGCATTGATCTTCTTCTTTCTGTGAGATCGGTACTTCGCTCTTTGATATCTGTCGTAATAAGAAGGAAACTGGAATAATGATCATATTAAGGCACAATAACAATACATTTATATGGATATTTTAAATACATTACAATCATGACATTGTGATCTGGATTTATTTTGGGGGTATTTCCTTGTATTATACATTTTATAAATTATGTATAAATAATAACAATCACAGAACAAAAACTTTTTCCCATATATTGTGAATCAAATTACCATTACTGCACAATCTGAGTGCAAAAGCAAATCATGTACCTTTTCAAATTGGCTTCAGAGAGTCTCCTTCTGAGTTCAGTTTCCTCAGGCGTTGCTTCTTTGGTCAGCTTCAATGTAGGGGCCCAATCTGGGTTGGATCTGTCGTACAAGTCTGCAGGTCTGCCTACAATGTGCAGTTATTCACAGCAACCAGGTGAATACTGACTGACAGCATAGACAATATGGGTATTTTCAGAAACTTTTTTTTAAAATGTCCTCACCGCTAATAAAGTGATCGGAGCAGATCCGTGATGTCCTGGACGGTTGCTCTTTCCTCCGGATATTAGCGAGCCACACTCGTCGACGCTCGATGCTGAGTCGCAAAGTTTGCTCCCCTTCTGTTGTCCTGACTTTGGGGATGTAGTGAAAACTCCTCTGCACTTTTTTGTCGCCTCTGCTTTTACACCCTTTGACCCAACAGTACACCACCATCGTGGTTCTCTTCGTGCGGTCAATGTAGTGGAATGCTTCTTCTTCTTGATTTTTATTAGCGGTTGGAAAGAAACGTTGTGGAATGCTGATTACTGGTTCTTCGTACTATCGCAATGGCGCCGGGGCATCCGTGTGTAATGTTATGGGAAACGTAGTAAAACTCCTCCTTTTCCTGCTGAAGTGCATTGTGGGATTTGTTGTTCTTATGCCAGACTCATGTGGGTCAGTCCTGGGTGGAGAACCTACAACTTTATAAGGACGAATAACTTTATATTAAGCTTGATGAACAATGATCTTCTGAATAATAAAGATTAAAATGAAAATGTCCTGTTAAATTATTTGATGGAAAACGCTGTGAAGTATTGCAAATTAAATTTATTTTATTTATAAGGTCCAAATTCATAACAAATGTCTAAAAGATTAGTACCAGTGGCCAGCTGCTTGTCATGCTTTAAAAAGTTAATTATCTTTAGAAAAATTAATTTTAAGAAGATATTGAACATATTTCTTCATTAGGCCCACATTCTATCATAATCACCAGATTTTGTTATCTGTATAAAAACATGAAATATGTTTCACTTGGTGAAATGAATGAACTTTTGACATTTTTATTTATTGAGTGCAACATTAAATTGTATGGTATGATCTTCTTGGCTCTAAGGACACTTGGTCCTGAGAAACAGTTACACATGCTTTTTTTGAAAGTGTTTTCAGTTTTGTCAGGAGATATTTACTATTCTTTCTTTTTAAGTTCAGTCCAGGGACCTGACCATTTCCAGAAGAATGCATTTTTGTTGGCATGGACTCACAAAACACAGTCAACCTCAAGCGTTCCCAATTCAAGTGACGAACCAGTATTATATTCACACAAATACAGATTTAAGCATCTCAAGACAAGATTTGTTCCCATTTATTAAGTGCAAAAAAAATGTGAGAAAAAAAATTATGATATATAATTTTAATATTGCACAAACTGTCAAATTTAATACGTTTTCATCCAATATCTTAAGATGTATCATGTAATTAAAGCACACACACAAGGAGAGACATTATACAGGGAGTAAATAGTACATTATAAAACACTAAAAATCCAGTTATATTGAAGACTTTCTAACACAACTGTACATACATTGCATAGAATGAAACAACTAGCAGTTAGCTTTGATTTTAATGACACCATTTTATTTTTTGTAAGTGCCAGAAAGAAAACAAAAATACAAAAAACTAACATCTGGAACCTACAAAAAGAGCAGAGATGTCACTAGAAAACTATGTATTATTATTTGTCAGGAATCTCAGTGGCAACACACACTAATCAACATTTTAATTTAGTAAAAACCTAAAAGGCTCTGAAAAAGTTTTTCCCCGCCCATTTTTCCTTTATGCTTTTCATTGTGCTACAAAAAACAATGGAAACTGCTACTGACTGATAAGTCAAATGAGATGCACTGCATCTCATTTCAAACCAGTGTGAAGGATTATAAAAAACAGACAAAATCCAGGATAAATAAAGTCAAAGCTTAGCTTAGCAGTTATTGATTTTTATACTTCTAGATTAATGAATATTATATATTTCTACAACACAGGCAGAATGAGGTCCTTGAAACATTTTAATCACATTTTATCACAGACATAACGTTAAATTAACAGATACAGTGCTCCCATGAAGTATTCACATCCTTTCTTTTTCACTTATTTTGATACAGTAGTCTGATCCCAAAATAGATTTTATTTTTTATGGAAAAATTTGTACAGAAATTATTCATAATGACAAAGTGCAATCATTTTAAAGGTGTTTTTGTAAAAAGAAAATTTAAAAATGTTAACATTGTAGGTTCACAAGTATGCACAGACTTTGCTAGTACAATTGATTGATCTCAGATGCATCTTCACCTCTGCTAAATTTAATATATCGGACATGATTTGGAAATGGGCAATCTCGCATAAAAAGGTCTCAAGGTTGACAATTCATATTGCAGAAGTCAGTGCAGAACAAAGTCAAAGGAAAAGTCAGTAGACCTGAGATTGTGTTAAGGCAAAAATCCGGGAAAAAATGTAAAAATCTAGAATCTTTAAGAAAACTAAAATTCTCAAAAACTATTTTAGAATTAAAACTGTTAATATAAGAGAAAAGAGAAGGGGTGTGAACACTTTATGGTGAACATTTTTTTATTAAGTGCAAGGAAAAAAAATATTGATGATTTTCTCCTTTGAGAAAATTCATTAATAGCAGCTCTCTACAATCAGGAAGACGAACACACCCATGGTATTTGTAAAAATTCAATCCAATGTGGATGTGACAGTTAAATTAAAGCTACTTCCTGAGTGGGTTTGTGATATTCTTCTTTTGAAGTCTTGTTCTGAATATGTTCTTCTTTGTGTTTCTTCCTCCATTTATAAATCAGGATCACTGATAACAGAACTCCTATTATTGCTCCAGTGAGTCCCCCTGCAATGGCAGCTGTGGACGTAAACCAAACAACTGAGCTAAATTCAAATTCACACTTTACAACTTTATCACTTTCAGTATGCATGCATCCCATAGTACCTGCAAAAATCTCTTTGTTTTCCAGTAAGCTTTTGCTGTTTGGGATAATAACCAATTCCGTTGCAGCATCTCCGTCATGCGTGTGAGATCTCCCCACATTCAGCACTGAAGAGCTCTAAAGCAAGACAAAAAGACATTGCATCATTTCCTGTGAAATCAACCACATTAAATGCATTGAAGCAGGATATAGATTTTTGTTTTTTTTAAATGGGTCATACTTTGGCAGCATTTGTGTTTCCATCTACAGGGCTTTGTACGACATCTGGGTCGGGGTTGTTGTTGGTCCCTTCTTTGGAGATTTGTAATTTGATCAGGCAAGAAAGCAAACAAGGACAAACATGTTTTGAAAATATTTAGGGAAAGAAATGAAAGTGATTCTTTATCATAGTTGGTTAAAGGAAGCCCTTGAATATATACCTTTTTCTGGATCATCTCCAGAACCATCCAGGTCATATCCAGATCCCTCCCAGTCCTCTGGAGGCCCAGAAAGCTTATTTCATGGAGGAAAAAATGAATATTTTTAGCATATAGACAAGTCAAGGAATAATACAAGTTTATAAGGAAGATAACAAAGCAATAAGGAAATGAATATTGCCAAGGAGACAAACTTCCCCTAACAATCCCATAATGACCCAGGAAGCCATCACCAGTAAACACTCATGAGCAGATAACAGTGGGTGATTGCATAACTCTACCTATTTAAGTTAGCAACAATTTTTGGGTTTTTGCAAGTTAATTTGTAAACCACAAGCAAGCATAAATGTAGATGTTTAAATATAGTTTATTATTGGTCTGTAAAGAACTGATAAATGCAAAAAATGCATATCATAAAACTGTAAGAGCTGCAGATACTTATCAGGAAAATACCATAGGACATCATGATCTGTGTCAGACTTTCCACACCCACTAACAACTCAACAATAAACCTAGGAAAGCTACGGTTACTGCTTATAATTATAGTGCATTATAAGCACTATTTACACCCCTTTCACCTAAACTTACATATATTTTATTGGAAATTATCTGTGACAGATCAACAAAAAGTATTGCATGTTGTAGAATGAAAACTGCCTCTGCACATCAACCTGAACACACCAGGATGCTGTGGGGATACTTTTCTTCAGCAGCGATAAAGATGTTGCAAGTTAGTTAATATTGATGAGAAGATGAAAGAAGTTAAATACATTAACAATCCTGGGAGTAAAAATGGCTTGAGGCTGCAAAAATCAAACTGGAGCAAGAAGAGAATGACAGTAAACAACAAGAGTTTCAAAAGAACTGCTTAGATCAAAACACATTCTTATGTTAGGATGGCATAGTTAAAGTTCAGATGTAATTGCAATTGAGAATCTGGGCCAATACTGAAAAAATGTTCAAAGATGCTTTCCATTCAATATGTGTCACTTTGTGTTGGTCTTTCACATAAAATCCTGATAAAATAGACTGAAGATTGAGGCCAAAACATGGGGAAAAAATCCCTGAAGCACAAAGTTTTCCATTTTGCTTTAAGTTACAATTCAAAGCATAGTAAAAGAAAATGTGATGAAACATTTTTTAGTTTTGTGGCTATAACTTAAGAAACAAATCCATGACTTATGAGATGTCAGCTATTTCTAACTGGTGCATTGTGACAAAAAAAAAATCAAAACAAATAAACCTTGAATTTTCTCAATTCAAAGTTTCTTAAAACCTTAAAGTGGTGTACTATTTAGGTTTAAATACATATGATTAATAAAACATATAACATTTATATATCTCTATGTGACCAACAATAGTTTAGCATTTACATTTTGCAGGACCTGTGAAAGAAAAATCCAGGTGTGTCTTTTGAGTTCTAAAAACAAAGTGCATACATTTAATTTGCTTAGCTAACTTTCTTGGGAAAACAGGTCTTCATGACGTTGTGTCATATTGTGCCACACCCAATAATCAGGTCAATAATACACCTACAAGAACAGGCACTTGCAAATACAGAATAATTTTTAAAAAGTTTTCTCACTTCATTAAAAATATGTGATCAACCTTTTTGTAGTCCATAAAATGTTTGTGAAATTAATACACCAATATTTTGTGTACATTTCATTTTTATAATATTTATTTGCCCACTATCTTTTGTTTTGTTTTTGTTTTGTTTTTGAAGCCTGTCCCGTGAACAAGTAGCGTTATATGACTTTCTCAAAAATAAATAATCATAATAATAATAACAATAATAGTAGTAACCGCATAAGTCTTAGAAATAGATTTGAATAAGCCAATACTCAGACATGCAGCTTTAGTTGGAAAGTTTAAAACCTCCAAACTGTTTTACCTCGGAGACATTTTTTGGCTCGAAGTTATTGCTGAACAGGAAGTGAGGAAGGTAACCGTGAGACGAGGGACACCACCACGTCCCACCACGTCTCTGTTCAATCAGGTGTAAAGGCAGAAGCTGACTTACCGACACCCGTTCAGGAAGAATGAATCCCAGTGCTAAAACCACGGACACTGTCAGGGATAAGCGCATCTTCAGGCTGAGTTAGAGTCACTTTTGTTAACGCGTCTCTCTGCTCCTTTCTTAGAAAAGCTATGGTTAAGAAGAAAAAAAAAAAAACCTGTCTACAGATCCAGCTGGTTTCGACGTCATAAACTCCACCCACCCTGAAAATGATCACACACTGTCCCTGATGGGAGGAGACTGTTTTTAATAAAGGTTGGCTTGTCAACCTTTATTAAAAACAGCCAATAAACAGCAGCGCCTTGTGCCATTTACTGACACACAGATGGGTTTCAAATAACTTCAGCAGAACCATTTTAATCAACTTTTCTTTCTGGAAGAAAAAAAAAATATATATATATCACCCTTTATTCTGAAAACTTTGGTTGCTTCCCCCATTAAGTAATTGTGTTTGTTTCTCTTTTTTATTATTTTTTTTTCTGCTTTTTCTGAAGATTTCTGCTATAATTTTTGCTAAAATTCTCTATTGTGCTTTTTGAAATATTTGTTTTTGTGCAAATTTTTATTTTTTGCCTCATTGAAATTTCACAAAATTCAGCTTTTTCACGGCTTACTTCTTATGTTTCAATCTAGAAACCCCATTCAACTTTTAAACAAGACTTTAAACTATATTCAAATGGCTACGGTTTTTCCACACTTGCGATTTAATTTTCATGCAGATTTTTGATTGTTTTCAGGGTTACAATGTAATCCTATGGTGGGATTCTCTAACTGTTGGCAGATGTTAGAATGCACTCTCTTGTAACTGACAATTTTTTAACTTTTCATGCTTTCTGGCAAAATGATGCTGTTCATACATATATAACTGTACAGGAATAATTTATGCATTAAAACGTAACCACGAATGTCTGCTTAAAGAAACTATACCGTCATTACTACAGGTGTCAGTTTTCTGTTAAACATTTCCAGAGTACAGACATGTCACAACTTCTCCTATTCCTATGCTACAAAATAAAGTAACTTTCCTTATGGGATATTTTATAAAAGGCATTGTCTAGAAATGCTTGCTGCAGAGACAACTTTAATTAATAAAGTCTAAGTGACACACACAGTCACTGGATATTTGTTGTCCAATAAAATTAAAATTAAAGCAGTAAAAACAGTCTAAGGAAAGAAAGACATTTTGTTGCAACTAACATTTTCTATGAAGTTTTCAAATGGCCGGCACCTTTTTTGAGAAGTACCAAAGAAAATCAGCTCCCTCAGCTGGCATATCACTTTTTTTTTTTTAACCAGTCGTTAATTGCAGTCCCAATACATGTATTATTCAGGTCACAAATGGCCCACATGCCGCACTTTGAACCCCTCTTCCCTAATTCAAAAACTGAAAAACCACAACAAATGGATTGAAATGTTAGAAGAACAATTTAATCATACATAGTCACAATTCTGCTTCCAAAAAAATGAGTTTGTTATCTTCATCTAACATCTGGAAATGTACATAAGGCCACCTGAAAATGTACATGACTGACAGTGTGACAAAAACTCATATGTTCATATTTATATAATTGACAATATTTTACATTGCTTTTGCTTACAAGGTTGTGGCTGTTCCAAAACACAGCACTCATCTGTACAAAAATAATTCTCGTCATATCTTGTGAAGTTTCCATGGTAGCAGAGAGGACTAAATGCAACCTCCTCAATTTTAGTAGACTGTCACAAATTAGAGACAAACGGTTGATGTTACAGCTTCAGTACAAATAGAGGCTGGCCTTTCCATAACAGATTTAAAAAACAAAACAAACAAACAAAAATCATGCCAGATTGCAAAGCCATATTTTTTTTTCCTTTAAAATATCACTTAATCAAATAAAACTGTATACATTATATTCAAGGGGAAAGGAGTGATGAATATACACACACATATCTAAATGCACAATTTTTGCTTCTTTTTTTTTCCCTCCCCTCAGAAAGTGTAAAAGACATCCCATTTACAGCATCAACGTTTACAAATGTACAACTGTACAGACGAAATAAAAGCATCACTACAAATTTAGAGCAAGGCCTGTCAAAAAACACCACAGCTAAACATATTTTTGATTTAACTAATAATCTTACACTTAACTGCACATATACTACATGTAATCTACAATTCATAAGAAGCAAAGAAGCCATCACTACGAGCATTACAGGTGAATTGTATAAGTTTTGATGGCCTTCGCCGGCCTCCACCGCTGTACTTGCAAACCCAACCAAATGGAAAACAAAAAAAAACTATTTATATTTATTTATATATTAAAAAAGAAAAGAAAAAAGATACAAAAAGTTCTTTAAACATCCCTTTCCTTAAATCATCTCACTACTTCTAGTTCATTTCACCTCAGACAAAAAGATGGGATGAGCTCCACATCACTTTTTTTATCCCCTTCCTGTCTTTCGGACTTTGCTCTGACCTTCTAATCGCTGGGAGTTTCATCCTCTCTGCAAGCCGCCTCCATCCCACCTAATAAGCAACAATTTTACTCGTACATAAAGATGCTATACGTCGCTCAACTACTTCTACGCAAGAGATGATTATTCAGTACGTAAATGTACTGTTTTCTAGGGCAGTAATCATCTCCAACTACGAGACAGATGTTACACAAAACATGATAAAAAGGGGAGGGGAAACAACAAAACAAAAAAATCATTCCAAGGATTAAAACCCGTCAAGGCATGTGAATGCATTTCCTGCCCCCAACCCTGCTATCCCCTAGGTAAAAGCTCTCAAGTTAAGAATAAACCTGCTGTACAACCAAACCTCATGCTCCACTTCTTCTTCTTTTTTATTTATTTATTTTAAGTCAAATTGTAGCTTTTATTTACTTTCATCAACCCCAGAACGACAAACTGCATGAGGGTAAGAAGAACGGCTCAAAAGAACGGGGGCTCCATGAATGCAGCAGCTCGGTCTTGCCTGTCGTACCGGAACGCGAGGCCAACTCGGAGCTGCTGGCGTAAACGCGCGGCTCCCCCGACAAAGTCTGGAGGCAAGAAATAGCCACAAGTGGAACATGAACCCAAGTCTAAAGCACCAATCCCCAACGGCGAGCTAAAGAAAAAAGGTCAGCAGGATCTCAGGGCGACTGTGGCACACACTGCTCACCCAAAAAATCCATAATCTTTAGTGCCGTTTGAAAACTAACTCATTTAGCTGCTTTGGCATGTGGAAGAAACACTTGTACTGTGGGTGGGATATTATACAAATATAAAATTCAATCACCAACAGCTCCATCAGGACAGCTGACATATTATAATTCTGGCTAGAAAAACAATAGGAATTGTGTTTCAAAAGAATCACTCAGTTTTGCTTTATAAAGTCACTTGCTGGTGGTAATTGTAAGAATTGTAAATTTCAGCAAATGTGTAATAATTTCTTTTTTTTTTCTACAGAAAATTTACAAGGTAAAAAAAAAATTAAATGTACAATATGAAAACCAGTCAAATACATCGATTACATCATTAACAACGGGCTTGTGCTTTACCCAGGAAAAAAACTAAACAAAAATCAGAAGGTAGCCTGCTGACTGTGCGGCCCCTGGGTACTTTCTCAGGGGTGGCAGAGTGGCAGGGGTCAGTTGTCACAGCATGTTTAGGTGAAATTGACTTGTCTTTTTATGTGTTTATTTGGTAAATAACCCCCCAATCCAGAGAAGAAAAAGGATGACCAATCGTATCAAAGGCCTATGGCTAAAGGAGCAAGATCTCACAGAACAGGGGGTTTGGGCTTCAAACTCCTCCACTTCTTCAGGGGACCCAGAGTGTCGATTACATCAGTCCGTTTGTGGGGCCGCCGATGGGGCCGAGTTCAGAGCCGCCGCTCTTCATGTAGTACTTTTCTAGTTTAGCCAGAATGTGCTTCCCATACGTGTACTTGCGCAAAGTGGCAATGTGAGGCCGGATCTAAGACAAGGAGAGACAAGAAAACACATTAGAAAAAAAAAAAGATTCAACTTCGAAACAAGACAGAAATGGAAAAAATAAGACATTTCTGATAAACATCAGAGCATTTTGGCTTTGTAAATAATGACTTTTTTTCCTTTTATTCATTTTTATTTCCACACACTGAGATGGAATGATAAATTAGAAAAAAAAAGTTGAATATATAAATCATAATTACAACTTCCCTGAACCATTTTCAGACATACATTGCACAAAAATCTTCAAATGTCTCTCAACTCTAAAAATTAATCACAGATTAGCTTTGTAAACTTGGCTGATGTACACAGATTTGCTACACTTTATCCACAACAATTTATTTGACTATTGCTTCAAAAGAAAAAGTCGTCAAGTTATGCCTTTACTTGTTGGGGAAGAAAAGGAGCGGCACAGAATAGCAGATGATTGTGAAAGATGGTTAAGATCCCTTAAGCTTTTGAGAATGTAGCTTCAAAGGTGAGGGGGAACTGAGTCATGAGCAGCTCCCCTGCTGTGGTAGCTTCAGCTGCTTTGGATGACTGACATCACGTCATGCACCGTTCATATGCTGTGCTTACCTTGTGCATGATGATTTTCCGTTGAGCAGGTTCTGCCATGTCAATCATTCTCTGGACAACGTAGTTGGCGTACTGGTCCTTCATCATGGTATACAGGGCGCTGTGGGGCCCATCTTTCTGGCAACACACCTCATCTATCAGAAGGGCCCTCTCTGCACGCGAAGAGTGTATGACACACTTCTCCACGACGTTACTGTGGACACATGAGGTACCGTTTCACACAAATCAAAGCGTGAGCAAGGCCACAGTTTAAGATTTGAGGTGAAATCTGGCCTGGATGCTTTCTTTCCCCGATTTGTGGTCAATACGATTTACAAAGATCGAACAAAATGTTTCACTTTTGTGTCTGATTGCAGATTATCAATTAGATAAATCTATTTAACAAATGACTGCTGCTTTTTTAGGACTACTGAGTGCATTTAAATAAACTTCACCTCTACTAACTTCAGAACCTCCAAGAAAGTTTGGCTGTGAGAAACTCCAATGCTCCTGTGTATTTGGCCCTAGCAAAATCACTTCTTCCCCACTGAATTCCTGGCTGTCCCACCACTACATGCGTCATATCTGCATGTAGTGGTGCACTCCCTCATTATGGAGTTTCCATACAAATAATTGCAATCAAGCACTGAAGCCTGTGCAG